ACAAATGAAAAACACAATTTGTTTAGAGCATACAACAAAAATAATTTTAAAAGTTAAGAAACAGCACTAAACTATATTTTAAGTATGCAACACTGTTACCGTCCGTACTGCTACGGCCTACTACTGCTACTGTTCAAATTTGGTTTTTGATCTGAAGACCAGATTAGACATCCTGGAATATAGAGAAAAGCATACTCTTCAAAACATAAATGTTTTAGGCTCTTTTGAAACATTCCTCTGGCTTCTGATGCCCGTCGAAATTTCTCAACCCTATTATAAAAGTCATATAAAGCTTCTCGTTTCAGCTTGAATGATCCAAAACCAAAGACGGTCAAACATGAATATGATACATAATTGAGATTCAAGAGTACAAAATCAGATACGAAACATATTCTCATCTTTCTATAAATATATGTTATATACTTACATATTGCATAAATGGTCTCCATACATTTCATATTCGAACGATAAATATGGGAAATGTGAGAAATTCGAGGATGTGAGTTTTCTGAAAATTTGGAAAAATTTTCGGAAGGACAGAAACTGAGTTTTTCATTTTTTTCAGATCCGTGTTTGGAACATTTGTTTTCCAGAGAACATCAGACCCAAAAACACGTTTCTGTTTTCCATCTTTTTCAAAATATATTGGGTCTTAATTGTTCTTTTCACAAGTCGACTCTTCTTAACCAACACTATACCTGTGATTAGGAGTGGGACAGTTCCAGTTCTGTTCTTTTGAACGCGAACCGGTACCAGTTCTTTTCAAAAAATTAAAATGGAAATAAAACCGGTGAACCTACTTACATTGACTTTGTGTAGTGCGCCAGAGGTGTGTTTAGTGGACCAAACCAAGTCAATATAATTAGTTACATGGATTTTATTTTATTTTGAAGTCTTGAAAAGAATAATACCAGTTCCCGTTCAACAGAAACTGAACTGGTAACCAGTTTATAGAAACTGGAACTGTCCCACCCCTACCTGTGATTAACCTTTTTTATGCAGCATAAAATATTGTGAACTGGAGACCTGCAAGGGTGGAGAATTAACATCCTAACGCGACCGACGTTTGGAACCTGTTTCGACCCGGGTTGAACCAGGTTCCAAACCTTGTAGATGCCCAACTCACAATATTTGAGTGAAATTTTAGAACTCTGCTATCAAGAAGTGATATGTTCTCGAAGCACACAGATTGTTATACATAATGGAAATTTTTTGAAAATAAGTTTAAGTTTTTTTCAGAAAAGATCATACCCCTTATAGATATTAAGAATTGCAAAACAAAAGTGGTGACTAACATACAGGATTTTCTTTTCCTTTGTTAATTTTGCAGATCTTCAAAGAACTCAACGGAAACATTGTGTTTTTCAACACAACATTTTTTATCAAAACCTTTCAAAAAAACAGTTTGTACGTAACTATATTCATACAGAATCTTATAGCGTGTTGGTAATGGCTGCAAAATTTGGATACTTTTAAAGGTCCGATATAGAATTTTTTCTATTTTCTCTTGTTATAAAAGTGTCATATTGAATCCTTGAACCATCAACCTGAGTCATTTTTAACCTTGTTCTTGAAAATAGGAAAATAAAATGAGAATATTTTGCCTATTTATGTAACTTATGCTAGTTTTTGTATTGTTCTATTTACTGTTGTTTTATAGATTTAAACTTCATTTCCACGTAGAATTTGAATAAATATATCCAGAAAGTCCAGAAGTGAAAAAATGACCGTTCTGGTAATACATAATATATGTAGTGCCTAAAATAGATTTTGGTAGTTCTAGGATGAATAAAAATAAAGTGCATTGAGTTAGTTGTAAAATAAAAATGTGTTGAACATACTTGATCGTGGTTGTTTTTCCATTCATGCAACATGATTTGTTTAAAATCATCATATATAATATCAGATTTTGGAACAAAATTTTTTTTTAATTTCCCATTACTTGATATATAATCACAATATTCATAGTTATTAATAACATTTTCATCCTGATCTTGATACGCTTGTATTATTATTAATGGTTTGTGTGATGACGGATTTATTATCTTGTGTATTTGATTAAAACCAGGTGCTAGCCATGTAACATCACCTTGCTTCAAAATAGCTTGAGCAAATCTTTTTTGATGTTTAACACTGAGTGACGAATACAATTCAACATTAGCTTCACCGTACAGATTACGCATGATACCGTAGGATCTACTATGAGCATGAATTTTACTATAGTGCCCTGGCGGCCAAATTTCTAATATAAATGGAACATCACTGTCAGTTATACTAGATCTTACTGGGATCTTTAGATATGTTTCATTTATGTTTTTATATGTTGATGTTTTAAATTTCATTTCTAATTTTTGATATATCCATCCTTGTGGATTATTTATACTTTCTTCAATTGCTTCACTGAATTGTGAAAATTCGTTATTATCCAATTGCCACTGAATAATATCATGATACAACATTTGACATATATCGGCTAATTGAGTTATTAACAAACTATCCCTATGATCATTTTCTACTTCCGCTGTTCGGCGATAACGAAACTGCAACATTTTTCCTAACGCTAGTCCTGTTGGTTTTATAAAGAGCGGTGGATCATTTAATACTGGATCTTTACCTAATTTTATTCTAATTTTATCTTCATATTTATCTAAATCCGGATTTTTATCATCTAATTTAATATGTACATATCGGATTTCTCTTAGTAAATTTGATTCTTCCTCATTTAAATCACATTTTATCATTGTCATTCTATCTCTAGCTTCACCCTGACCATATTTAACAAGTAGACTTTCCGAATCTATACTCAGCCAATATTTGTGTTGACCATCATTCAAATGTAACAGACTATTATTTACTGTAGATTGATTTAGTAGTATTTTAAAATTATTTAATATTTTGCTGATTTTTACTTGTCTTTCACTAACACTTAACAAAATCGAATACGTATTTTCTTTTGGATATTTATTAACTGACAACAATATTTCAAATGGTATCGCTTCATCGCCTTGTTCGATTTCAATTGTTAATTTACCTTCAGTTTCCAAATATTCGGTAAAACTACTTGCTCGCCATGGACTCCAAAGTTTATTTGGTGGTGAAAACTTTTTGGTTCTTTTTTGTGGCTTTATTGCTGGTACTAAAAAGAAACACTTAACAGTTTTTATGGTTATTTGCGGGAACTCTACCCAGATTAAATTATAAAAAGGTATGAGATATCGAAAAACGGTATTTTGAAACAGGAAGTCCGTTAGAACAGCTAAACTTCTGCATGTTTTTAATCTGAAGAATTACATCGACTTTTTTAGGTGCCGAGGTTTTAGAATCTTTTCGCTATTTTAGTTTGAGTTCACTTTTTAAGAAATATTTAAGCTTGAAGTAGAGAGCACTGAGAATCGTATTTAAAACCTGTTAATTCGGGTCGAGGTTTCAGAAACCTCGGAGAGGTCTAATTTTGATGAAAAATTCTTTCTCTATCATCGTTAACAATCTTGAGTGAAAATAAATTTCCAGATATTATCTGGAAAACCGATTTTCCAAATATCAGCTGGAGGTCTTGAGAATTATTTCATTGGATTCTGCAATATCCCTCACCTAAGAAATCCTATTTTCACGTGTTTGAAGTTAAAACTGGAAACAATGCTGAGAAAACACTTGCTCAGTTTTGGAAAGAGCCGATTTTTCTTAGAAACAATAAAGGATGGGTATTGCACCTCCTAGGAGCGTTAAAAAGGACGTCAACTGACATTTGCACTTTCCTTACAGTACTTTTCTTACATCAATCTTCCATCTACTAGATTGTCAAGTTTTTGAACTCTATTCAGGAATGTTGTTTATTCACTCACTGTCACTAACCAGCCGTTTTCCCTTCCCACCTCCCCCGTTGATCGAGATGCCTGTCAAAACAAGAGACTACAATTTGAATCTTTTGAGCGAGAGTGTAATTCCAGCATTGCTCAAATGTCGGTTGAAATTCTTGTCGAGTGTGTCAACAGCTCCTTGTGTCACATGCCTGGAAATGGCAATAGCCAATGCGGAACATAAAATTACTCAGGAAACAAAGCAAAGTTCCATAAAAAGCTATTCGTACTTTCGTACCCGAAGTGATGGCAAACGGGGTGGCCTAAAAATCTTGGCTACACCTTCTAACAAGTTATATACTATCACTAGGGTCACACCACAGCCTTAATCACGATTCAGCTAATCGTGATTAGTTAATCGCGATTATTCAGGCCTACTTATCTGCTCATTGTCTTCTTTTCCATCACAAAATTCTTTCGATTAAGGCGTTCAAAATGAATATTAAAAGTTTCTAAACGTGCAGTTAGTGAATAAGTACAGCCCTCACTTGCACTGCATCTAGCCTGTCTTAGGCATATATCTTCATTTATAGCCACGAGCTTTTTAAATATTTTTAAAGAATAGTTGTTCATTTAAGTGTTTTGCAGATCATTTCTTTGATCAAAAATGTCATCAAGCACACAGAGCGAAGGAAACAAAAACAGTGGGAAGAGGAAACGCACATCAGGGTCCGAAAATGAAGCAAACGCTTTGTTAAACACATGGTTAAATCCATATGATATTTACCACGTTATAGGATACCAGTGACGAGATACACATCGCCAGATGCAGTTTTCACGCTGATTCCAACGATGTAAAGTTTGCCAGAAGTGGAGGAATCTACTCCGAGTACGAATAAAATGGAAGATGTTAACAACGAAACACTGGCACAACCGTTGTCCCAAACATCCTCGTCATCTACGTCAACACCATCGAGAATCAAACATGAGCCGGCGGACAAGAACAAAGCAAAATAAATAAAAAGAAAATTATCACACGCGGAAAAAAAGTTTATACGAGGATATGCGCAAGTTCAGATGTTTAGTGAAGAGAAATGAATGAAAGGAGTGGGTTAACTTCATAAGACAATGGCCCTCGTTTTTTTTTGCTTATTTTGACGCGACTATTGTAGAAAAGACGTTTGGCCACATTTTCCAGTTGTTCTTATAGAAAATAAGCTCAAAATACGTTTTTAAACGTTGATTATTTTAAGATTCCATCAGAGGACGTCGTTGTTAGAAAAGAATATTTTTGAAAAACCTAGCATAGGTTTCACACAAACCTTGATATGAAAACTAGTCAGTGAAAAGCTGAATAAAATACTCTATGAACAGTCGTATACATCATTTCAATAGGAAGAGATTATTTTCACAAGAGACGAAATTGTACCAAAAAGAGGTTATCAATAAAGGTCTGTTTTTCTTTGCAGTAAAAAAAACGTGTTGAAGTGCAGGTTGTCGAAATGAACGTTATTCGAGCTGTTTTTTTCCTTGATGTCAAGAATGTTTTATTCGGGAAGAATATGGAAGATACTAGGTAGAATGTAATTTTTTTGAATTCTGCTAGAATGGTGTGCAAGTTGTTTTAATAAATGGTTCACGATAGATTTTGATGTCACTGGAAGAAAAAGAATTTTCTGCTCTGCGGGAGTATTGGACTTTTTTTATATCTGTGAGTAGATCGACATCTTGTGAGTCTTACAGTAGTTCTTCTACAAATTCTGGATTAAAACCAACTGAAGTATAAAGAATAAACTGAACTAGAGTCATATATATATATACACCAGAGCCCTGCAGGTTGATCCTAACCTAACCTAACCTATAGGTTAGGTTAGGATTAGGTTGCAAAAGTTATAGGCTCGGTTAGGTTATAGGTTGTTCTATTTTTTTTTTCAATGGTTAGGTTAGGATTAGGTTGTCGAATCCATAGGTTAGGTTAGGATTAGGTTGTGAAATTTTTTATAGGTTAGGTTATAGGTTGCCAAATA